AGGATCAGATGATCCTACGTACTATCGTGGGCATACTAGGCCTGATGTACTAGACATCGCGCACTTCAGAAACGTCTCTCTGACCAGCGAGATTTACGTTCTGTCGGAACTGGATTCCGATCATAATCCAGTAATCCTGGTATTTGGCGATGGTCTTTCTTCTCCTGATGATCACATGAGATCTTAAACGAATTAGGATATCTTCACAGCTCAGCTCGGAGAGATGCGTGCCCCTCCTCAGGTACTCCACCCTCCCGACGAACTCGACGCGGCGTTTCGAGCTTTCTGTGAATGATGCGTTTCGAGCGGCCACCTCCAGGGAGGAGTGTCCGCTGAAGAGCTACAATGAGTTTCCCCCCCGTATCAAAGCCTTGATACGAGAGAGAAATCGCTTGAGAAGGCTCTATCAGCGAACCCTTTTCCCAGGGGACAAAATTGCGGCAAACAGGATGGCCAACAAAGTCAAGCAGGCCATCATTGATCACCGAAACGGAAGATGGGAAGAGCTTTCGGAATCCTTCGAACCCGAGGATGACGAGCTTTGGCAAGTCACCCGCAGGCTCAAGGGGAAGAAGACTGCCCTCTCACCCATTCACAGAGAGCGCGGAGTGTGCTACTCCCCCGCCAACAAAGCGTCATCATTTGCTGACACGATGGAATGTCAATTTCACCTTAACGTTGACGATGATGAGGACATTGACCGCGATATGCCGTTGGAAGACCGGGTTCACCGAATCCTCAGGGAGGATGACGATGATGACATCCGTCCAGCTTCGGTGGGAGAACTGAAGGGATATATCAGGGCCGCAAAGACCAAGAAAGCTCCGAGGGTCGACTCAATAATCAATAAGACGGGCCGAGTCGCCGGACTTCTGGTCAGTGGCAGAAATGAGTAGGGTTAGGAGAAGTAAAACTCTCCAAAAGCCTCTGCGAAACATGCCACCGTGGGTCAGCCTATCCGAGCTAAAGTGTAAGGAATCGTGCCGACAGCTGAAAGGCCGCAGAGTGATATGCGGTTACGAAAGATCCCCTTGGGGAACTGGGTGAAACCTCATTATAATCAGCCTACCTTTGGTAATGCGGGGTTTTGTCAGAGGTGACCAAATCTTCACAGATCACCTCGTGATGTAATATAAAGGCCAAGGCGTAAGCGCATTTGCGGCGCCGGAGGAAGGAAGAGAGCGAAAGAGGAACCCTCCTCCTCCCCCACTCCACCTCCAACAGCAAGGGCACTTCCTGAGGCGAGCACTGAGAGTTCCGCCTTGAATAAAGTCAATGAACTGGCTACCGCCGCAAGAAAGCTCCCTCACTTGTGTACCTCCACGTAGGGAACCCAAAGAACGTTGAAGAAGCCGCGCAACGACAGTAATGTCGCTGCACCTTCCAAAACCTTCGCAGAGGCCACCGTGAGACACCTTAAGGTTATCCAAGAGAGTGTGTGTCCGGCGAGTCTTGACCTACACCTGCCAATATGAAGGAGACGTCTCCTAGTTACCTGTCCACCTTCCTGGAAAGAACAGGATGGACGATTACCTAGGTTGACAACTCCTCGGGAGGATGTAAAATGGGTCACAGGTGGCCTTAGTGCTCACCCTCCCTACTCTACATATACAGATAACACTGATGTTCTTCAAACATGACTCAACCTCTTACGAAATCATCAAACTCTTACGAAGTTTCGAAATAGATGAACATTTCAATCTAGCAAATCATTATCATAATCTTCATGCAGTCATTGCTCACTGTGGTTCTGGCGTTAAATCTGGTCATTATTGCGCATTGGTCAAAGACAAAATTGACTGGTTTAAGTTTGACGATAGTCACTAAGTGTTCGGGTGATGTCTTGAATTTATTGAAGCCTCTGGAGACACCCCACATTTTGTTGAGAGAGAGAGAGAGGACATTAGCAAATCAAGGTCTTCAGATGATGTGGTGCTCTAGCTCCACTGGAATCAATGAAGTTGCCCCGGAGCGCCAATAATGTTTGTTGTTGTTTCATAATTTCATAATTTGTATTACTTTCATCTGTAAGTGAATTTTGAGGCTTTGTTCTATACAAATACATTCAAAAATACCGTCGAATGAAACTGAATGCCATCTTGCCATCATCATCTTGAATGCCATCTTGCCATCTACCACTTGAATGCCATCAGATGGCATTCAAGTGATAAATAACAATCCGGTGTTTCGTAGTTTAGAAAAAGTTGAAATGTCGCAGATAGAGTGTAAATATGATTTTGATGTATTTTTCATATAAATGGTCACTTCATAAAATTGTGAGATGTATAATTTGTATTGGAGACATGTAACGTTCTGTGTGAAGTTCAGGGAGCATATTCCTACTTTTCTGCTCACAACCAAGACAAGCTTTGTGCTCTGCATGTCACTTATTGTACAAGTAAAAGAGTGTATGAAAGGTAAGTTTGATGTTTGATGAACTTAAAAATTTTCATTTCCAGACATTTCAGGTCGTTGTGGAAGTGAGAGTTAGATTATGGAATTTGAAGTACCAAGAGTTTGGCGAGAAACAAACGATCATAGTTTTGCATTGTCAATTCACGTTGAAGAGGTAATGATCAAAATGCCAAACCAATTGAATATTCTACCTTGATTCTTCTTCTGCTCCAATTTTACATAGCTTCGTTACTTGAATTTTCAGTAACACAAACTCATCTTTCAGTTCCAGGAAAAGTGTTCCAGTTTGACCCATGCCAGTGTAATCAAAACTGCATCTTATTACTACAGAATATTTCAACCACTCAATGGAAGATTTCAATTCAACGGAAAGCATAGCAGAGCTATACTTTTTGGAATTTACTTGTTGATATAATGTTGATATATCATGGATCAGCAAACTAGGCATGAAACATTTTTCTCACAGAAGAAGATGGTTTATGTTTTTGTAATGACATAAAAGGTATGTTGAAAGAAATTGGGATTACCCGTGTTCCTTGCGAAAGGTTTTCATTTATCGACAGCTCTATAGGAAGCCTGGAAGCTGTTCCATTCCACAGCGGAATTAAATTTCCATCTCTTCCAATCGCTCTTTCAATATTACTTCTGGAAAAATATCGCTGAAATTGAATGAAGCATCAGAAGCTTCTGGATATTTAAAAACATTTTTCCCGAAGTTGTCAGAAGCAAAGGATAAGGCTGGAGTTTTTGTTGGTCCACAAATTTGTAAAATTTTTATTGGAGAAGAGTTATCAGACCTGCTTCATAGGATGGGTAAAGCAAGTTGGAATAGTTTTTAACTAGTAGTGTCCAAAATTTCAGGAAATAATTACGGTAAAGACCACCAACAACTTTTAAAACTATATATACTGCATGCCTGATCAAGGCATGCAGTATTATGGAGGTGTTTCCTTAGTTGACAGTGGCCAGTAAGAAATCCTACTGTAAGGCGTAGATTCTACCTGGTCATCGCCAGATATTTCTTCGGCGCCAGCTTCCCAGGGTCGCCCAAGGTGATCCTGGCAAGATTACATCCTTTGATTTCATCCCATCTCTTTAAGGATTGAGCATGGGTGTAACAATTTGACTAGTTCCGCAATTGTCGAAGTCATCAGGCCGTGGGTGCCACTGGGTCCTAAAATTTTTAGTCCAGCTGCTTCCTTGGCTGAAGAGTCAGCAATGCGATTACCTTTAATCTTGTCGTGCTCTTTAACCCACCTCAGGATAATCTTATTATCTACCGAGGCTTTGGCTAAATCTTGGTGACACTCTAGTACCAGCCCTGAGGTAACACGTTGTCTGTTCAAGGCTAATAGTGCTTGTCTGCTATCAGTGCAGATTGTTATGTTTTTGCCAGAAATTCCTTTCTTGGTTATTTCTTTTGTGGCGATTGAGATGCCAGCCAGTTCTGTTTGGACCACGCTGGTATTTCTTCCCATTCCCCACTTAATCCTTAGACTTAGTGACCTGAAGTACACTCCATATCCTGAGCCTTCTTTGGTTTTTGAGCCGTCTGTATAAATCTGTTTTGCATTTGTAGTATCTGACTCTGTGTTCTGCTCAATTTGTATTGTGTAGGGTTTATTAAACACAAACCTTGGTTCAATTGCATCACTTGTTGCCTGCAGCAGAGGTTGCGCAGTGAGCGCTTCCCACCATAGGCCTAGCCTCAATTGACCCATTCCTACTTCGAGGTTCACACCAGCCGTGCGCAATCGTACCAAGGCCATTAACGCAACCTCCTCAACGTACAGATCCAGAGGTTGCCGCGGTTGGTGTTGTTCTCCTGGCTCCTGTGATGTTTAAACAAGCCAGTCGCTGCATTTGATATAATTTTTGGATGGCCGTTGCTTGTAGAACTTTCGGTCCCCATGCAATGGATCCATACGTTAACATAGGTCTTATTATTGCAGTGTATATCCAGGTGACCACACGGGGTGAAAGACCCCATGCGCATCGCACTGTCCTCCGACATTGCTCATAAGCCACGTATGCTCTTTTTGCTCTACTCTGTAGAAGAAGTAAGAAGTTTAGTTTGCTTTTGAAGATTTCAGGAGGTTTTAAGCCCGTTAAACTTCTTTTCCTGGTGAAAAGGACCATTTCACTTTTTCTGGATAATCCGATAATAATCCGAATATATGTGTATATCATTTTAATTATCGAATCACTGGATAATCCTATGATTGAAATGATATACATATATATCATCATAAAATGAAGATCAATATCACGAATTTTCGTCAATATTAGTTCAACGTTCTGCTGGATACAAAAGAAAACTTTTTCATGATATATAATTCTTTTCTATTCATTTATGATCTAGTTTAAAAAAATTTCAAACTTTGATTTCGAAGTCAAACTTTGTTTAGACCAGTGTAATACTTCAATATGACGGGGCAAATAGCCAGAAAAACTTGTCTTTTTGAGTGTTTCATCCGCTAATTCACCTTCACTGTCGTTAAAATCACTCGATAATTATGTTAGTTGCTACCTATGGATGATAAGTCTCCTGAATAAAACCACAAGTATGTGCGATTTGCTGTTGTTCGTGACTTCGTGCATTGTGTAGTTTTTCGCAATCATCACATCCTTATAGTTGGCTGCACCGCTAACAATAGTCAGAAGCACATGTCCGCGGGAGGCTCGTTGAAATCTTTCAATATAAAGCGACATTAGAAAGTGGAATAGGTGTAATTGACGTGTTTGTAATGATTTTGGATTATGAAACCCACACAAAGGCGTTGCAATAGTGATAACGATTGGTCCCAACAGTGGTAGTAGCGAAATAATAAAAAGAGAAAGTGATAAGGGAAAAACAGGATTTACAGACGCATGGAAAGTATATTAACAAGTGATTGCGATATATGTAATCGAGTACTTGAAAACAATATTGACTAAAATATCATTTTTGTTTCTATTATAAACCTTCCTCTGTACTGACTTTGCCTCAGAATCAACCATAGAAAATTTTCTCAACTTGTTCGAATGTTGTTTCATGAAAATTTCAATAGATCTCTTGAGCAGGTATAGTTTCCGTTTAGATTTTCATCCGCTTTGCTTCTCTTCTTCATGGTCACAAATGAATTCAACCCGATACTGTGAATTATAGATCAGGCTCTGTGGCTGAATGATGATAAAATCATAACAAACATGCGAGTCCTTTCGACGCCATATCCATGATAGTTCCTGCTAAGTAAGTTCTGAGAATAATCAGCAGTTTGTTGTCCTCATCATTGAGAAGTGAATACTTTTGTTTAAATTCATTGTTTTCACAGAGAATATGAAAACTGTTCACTTTATTATTTTTCTTCATGCAATGTGTCTTGGGAACACGTACAAAATTTTAGTTGTGTTTCCTGTACCTTCGCCAAGTCATTTTATTCTCGGTAGTGCGTTAGCCCGTGGATTAGTTAATGCTGGTCACGACGTCACAATAGTTAGTCCTTATAAGGATAAGAAGCCAACAGAAAACGGAAAATACTCCGGTATTGTCCTGGAAGAACTCGCAGATATCAGAAACAGTGAGTACTTATGCGATATTTTTCTGCTCAGAATATGAATGAAATATTATTAATGAAATTTATTTATTTATTTTATCCCTGCAAACTTAATAGTTTCATTATATGGATTCTCATTATCAAAATTATAGGTACTGTAAATGTAACTTGGAAAATATATTTTTCATTTACATAAATACTAGTTACATAAATACTATCAGAACTGTTGGGTTACAGATTCATTATCACGAAGATATGTTCAGTATAATAATATAATCAGTACTGTGATACAAAATTTGGATTGTGTTAAAGTCCAACCAATAACTGTTATTTCATCAAATTCATCAGCTAACATCAAGATGGTTGCGAAACGGAGTTCTAGTTGTAGACCAATAACTGTTATTTCATCAAATTCATCAGCTAACATCAAGATGGTTGCGAAACGGAGTTCTAGTTGTAGATAATGACATAGAAATATTGAACAGAGTTGTATGAAACGAAATCAAGCCTAGGATTTCAGGGGAGTCAATACGATCATTGGTTATTTTATATACAGGGTGGACCATCGAAAACATGACATGGAGGTTTTGAGTACTAATCTTGCAAATCTTAAAAAACGCTCAGACAGGTCGATTTTCATTAGAAGGGGGACAGTTTTTTACACTTGGAAAATATATTTTTCATTTACATAAATACTAGTTACATAAATACTATCAGAACTGTTGGGTTACAGATTCATTATCACGAAGACATGTTCAGTATAATAATATAATCAGTACTGTGACACAAAATTTGGATTGTGTTAAAGTCCAACCAATAACTGTTATTTCATCAAATTCATCAGCTAACATCAAGATGGTTGCGAAACGGAGTTCTAGTTTTAGATAATGACATAGAAATATTGAACAGAGTTGTATGAAACGAAATCAAGCCTAGGATTTCAGGGGAGTCAATACGATCATTGGTTATTTTATATACAGGGTGGACCATCGAAAACATGACATGGAGGTTTTGAGTACTAATCTTGCAAATCTTAAAAAACGCTCAGACAGGTCGATTTTCATTAGAAGGGGGACAGTTTTTTACCATTTACAGAGTCGTCACTTCAACCCCGGAGCAGAGGGGTGAACAACCCTTGGAATTTCAATAGCGAACTGGCGGTTTGGAAGCTGGGCACCTCCAGCTTCCATGTTATGATAGAGATTCTGCTGGAAACGTTTTCGAACATTGTGGAAAATTTCTGGAGTGATTTGGCGACATTCATTTGTGATTCTTTGCCGTAAATCTTCGAGTGATGCAGGAGTACAGGAAATTCTGCTTTTCAAATGACCCCACAGAAATAAATCTAACGGCGAAAAGTCTTGTGATAGTGGTGGCCATTCGATAATGCCACGCCTCCCAATCCAGTTATCCTGAAAAGTCTGATCTGAATACTGCCAAACAGGCAGAGCATAGTGCGAAGAAGCCCCATCTTGTTGAAATATTAACAGATCCTCCCGATAATTGTGGTCATTTTCAATAAATAATATCAGTGAGAAGGGGATCAAAAGTATCTTCCACAAGCTCCAGATACATTTGTCCGGTTAAATTGTCTTCCAAAAACAATTAGCCAATAATACGGTCACCAAAACTTCCAGCCTATACATTTAATTTTTGTGGACGTTGAGTATGCACTTCATGAACAATGTGATCATTTGAATCAGCTCAACTACGGCGATTAACTGTGCTATTCAGAAAAAAGGAACATTCATCACTGAAGCAAATTTTGAGAACAAAATGTGGATTTTCCACTGCTTATTCACTAACCAACTAGCAATCGTCGATTGAAATCATCTTCATTCAGTTCTTGCGTTAATTTAATTTCATAAGGATGCATTTTGTGAGTTTTTAAAATACCCCGAATGCTAATTCGTGACACCCCGGAAACAAATGCTAACTTTCATGTGCTCAAAGTATGGTCAAGCTCAATATGGCCCAAAATTGCCACTTGTGTCGCCTCATTTGTTAGGCTAATTGCACACACACCGATTGTGGACGGCCGATTTTATACCGGTCGTCCAAATTCCAATAGTGAACAACATGAAGGAACGGGACCTTGCACACATACCTACCGGTGATCGACGCCGATCACCGGTCGGCGTGTGTGCCAGGTTCCGTACCCACATGTGGTTCACTATTGGATTTTGGACGACCGGTATAAAATCGGCTTTTTAAAATCGGTGTGTGTGTGCATTTAGCGTTACTGGTGGTTCGATTTGCCGTTTTTTATTTGCTACAGATCGAGTTTCGCGAAATTTTGTAATTGAATCGAAAACATAGTGTCGCGACACATTCTTCCCATGTTGTAGATTGAACAGTTCAGCGGATCTCGCAGCACAACGTCTATTTCCATAGTACAGTTCAGTCAACTCAACTCTCTCTGCAGTTGTGTAATCCATTGTTTCTTTAACAACACTTTACGGCACTCACTACTAGCAATAATATAGATATCACTTTTAACATAAAATTGAGAAATATAAACAGCATTTTTAACCATTTCTCAATTGTAATAGTCCTCTAATCAGAGGAGAACTAAAGAATCAACGAAAAAGTAGCGTAAGAAACAAAAAAAAGAGTTATAAATACATTCCAACTGTGCAGTGGCGTACAACAATTTGTTGCTATTAAGAATATTGAAAAAGTTAATCATCGGAAAGAACTCTTCTGAATATGTCCAAATTAAAAAAAAATTACACCTTTGTTTAGAGAATTCCAAGATCTTTCAAACGATTTGCGACTCGCTCCCTATTCCCTATTGAAATTCCAAGGGTTGTTTACCCCTCTGCTCCGGGGTTGAAGTGACGACGCTGCAAAAGGAGAAAGAACTGTTTCTTCCCATCCAAAAAAAATTGACCTGTCTGAGCGTTTTTTTCGAATTTGCAAAATTAGAATCCAAAACCTCTATGTCAAGTTTTCGATGGCCCATCCTATATAAATATTAGGGATGACAAATTGCGTCTTTGATCTAATGATAATATTTTAAATTCGTTTCTTAATCGTGATGTTCGTATTGAATTGTATTTAGGCCATTTATGATTTTTTTAAAGTTAAAATATAGAAATTTGTTTTGAACCCATTTGATTTCTTTTGAAGTAGTTCTGTATTCTCATGTCCGAATTATTGAAGCAGTCTAACTAGAGTATAGTGGAGTAATTCGAGTGTATTCATATCATTGGATTCATCACCAATTTCACCAAAATATTTTGTGCACCATTGAGATAACTCAGGGAAAGTTTCTTCGTGCATTAAGTTTATATTCGTTGTTAAGTTAAAAAAAATAATATATTCTTTATTTGTGAAAGAAAAGAAGAGAATTTTGTCGAAAAAGAATATGTAGGAAATAAAACAGTATGTCATGTGCCTAATTGAAGATTGTAGATTATTTGATAATGATAATCATTGAAATTCAATAATGCTATTATTTTTACTATTTTTGATCAGTTGATGATTTTAATGAGTTTCAAAATCTTTCCATAATGTGGCGAAATAGAACTCTTTGAGTAGGATATTTAAATACAGGGTGTAACTAAACAAATGTGAAACATCTGAGGAGGTAATTCCTCATCGAAAAAAAGATAGGATCTTTCATATAAAGAAATTTCATTGGAGCATTCCTTGTTAAAATACAGCCCCTTGAAGGGGGTACATAAAAAGTGTATAACAATTTTTTTCACAAGCACTAAAAAAGTTACAATATTGAAATTAACCTGACGGTTTGTACTACCAAAATGACACCCAGCCAAAAATTTATTTGATTTACCCCATGGTTGTAAAGGGTGGAAAACACAACCCCTAAAATTTATTTGCAATGAAACTTTTTGTCTCATTATTTGTTAACCATTGAAAAATTCATTTCCGATAGCCTGTTACATTCTAAACAAAAAATGTAACCTGGGTTTTGCCCAAAATAAACCAGTTCGCATCAAAAATTTATGTTATGAACAACTACAGAGATACGTCGTCATAAATGCAAAAATACGAAACTAATCTATCTATTAGGTCGCTATTAGCAATAGAGACAATTTAATTGGTATGACGCTGTCAGTTGTGAGTTTTCGAAATTGAATCAATACTAATTGTGTGTTGTTGTTTTGTCCTTAATTTGTTACCTTAATAATCCACTTGTTATTGAAATGGCATACACAAATGAGGAAATGACTGATATGCATTACGTTTACGGTCTATCGCAGGGGAATAGGTTAGAAGCTTCTAGAAGAATGTATCCTCAACGGCAGCATCCTTCACATATAATATTTGCTCGACTTCGTCAACGATTACGAGAATATGGTTCATTCGACAGAAGAACGCGGAATTGTGGTCGCCATCGAGAAGTACGAAAGCTACAGCTTCAGGAAGCAGTACTGAATATGATTGAAGAACAACCTACTACCAGTACTAGAAAGATTGCTTTCCAGCTAAATGTTGATCATATGATGGTATTTCGAATTTTAAAGGAACAACTCTTGTACCACCACCATCTTCAACGAGTACAGGCATTGTTACTGCGAGACTTTCCGAACCGTATTGAATTTTGCAATTGAATGCTGAAAATGATAAGAAGAAATTGTGACTTTCTGAAGATGATAAAATTTACAGACGAATGTAGTTTTTTTCGGGACAAGATAATCAATTTTCATAATTACCACATATAGGCTGATGAAAACCGTCACGCTATTGTCGAAACTAACCATCAAGAACAGTTTTCTCTTAACGTGTGACTCGGAGTTATTGGGAATGATTCAATTGGGCCTCATTTCCCACTTCTTCGACTGAATGGTGAGGCATACGTTCAATTTTTAAGAGAAGTGCATCCAGTACTGCTGGAGGAAGTTCCTTTGGGCGTCAGAAGGGATATGTTTTTTATGCATGATGGGGCTCCCGTCCATTTCAGTCAAGTAGCACGTCAGCATTCAACTGAAACATATGCAAATCAGTGGATATGTCGAGGAGGACCACAGAGCTGGCCCGCTCGATCCCCGGATCTCAATCCTCTCGATTTCTCTATTTAAGGCAATTCACATCATTTGGTTTATCGTACTCCTGTTCGCGATGTAGATGACTTAAGAAACCGCATCATTGATGCGTTCAGGGTAATCATAGAGACTCCAGGAATATTTGAGCGAATACGTGGCTCAATGCGTCGACGTCTAGACGCATGCCTAATGTCTGAAGGTAGACATATTGAACATTTCTACATGTAGTGTTTTGTTATTGATAAATAGTTTTGTTTATTACCCTTAAATCGTTTGATGCAGGTTCTGACTACAAAATAACAATAAATCCAGTTCGCATTTAAGACGATGTATCTCTGTATTTGTTCGTAAAATATTTTTTTGCTGTGAACTGGTTTATTTTGGACAAAAAGCCCAAGAGCCATTTTTTGTTCGCAATGGAACAGGTTATCGGAAATGAATTTTAGGGGTTGCGTTTTCCACCCCTTACAACCATGGGGTGAACCAAATAAATCATTGGCTAAGTGTCTTTTTGGTAGTACAAAACGTCAAGTCAATTTCAATATTGTAACTTTTTCAGTGCTTGTGTTATACAAATCTCATGTACCCCCTTCAAGGGGCTGTATCTTTACAAGTTATGCTCCAATGAAGTTTCTTTATATGAAAGATCCTATCTTTTTTTCGATGAGGAATCACCTCCCTGGATTTTTTACACTTACTCAGTTTCACCCTGTATATTCAATAGCATATCATTCCTCAATCTTTTTCAGCCCTCAGAAAATCCAACTTATTCGAGGTAAGCGAGAGTAATCCATTCAAAACTGCACCATTCATGGACACTCTAGGCAACGTAGTAACAAATATAACTCTGGAAAGTATCAATTCGAAAAAGTCGAATATTCTCAAAGAGGAATTCGATTTGGTGATCCTAGAATATTTCAGAAATGATGCTCTGATGGTCCTAGCTTGCCACTACAAAACACCGTTGGTATTATTCGGTACGATGGGTGCTAACTTATGGGTAAATTCGTTGGTAGGAAGTCCATCGCCACCATCATATACCCCAGATTTACACCTGGGTTACACGGATAATATGGATTTCTGGCAACGCCTGATGAATGTATTGATGTACTCAATGAAAAAACTCAGAGAAAAGTTTGTTTTTCTTCCTTTCCAATATGAACTTGCTAAAAAACATTTTCCCCATTGTGTCGGTGAGGAAGGTCCTCTTTCAAATGTGTCACTTTTGCTTTTGAACTCACACGAGAGTGTCAACAATCCAGTGCCATTCGTACCCAATATGATAAATATCGGTGGATTCCATATAAATCCTCAAAAGGAGTTGCCGGGAGACCTGAAAGAGTACATTGACAACGCAGAAGAGGGCGTAGTTTACTTCAGTTTGGGTTCCAATGTCAAACCTTCTGAAATGAGTAATGAAACCAAAAAGGCTCTTCTGAACGCTTTGGGTAAAATCAAACAAAAGGTGCTGTGGAACTGGGATGAAGACTTTCTTCCAGGAAAAGCAGATAACATCAGAATAAGTAAATGGTTTCCACAGCAAGATATCTTAGGTGAGTTTTTTGATGAATATATTTATATCATTCTACCTGCTTATGAATCAAATTTACAAAATTAAATGATTTCCATTCGAGTTACATGAAAAATCAAAGTCTTTCAAGATTATATGGTTTTCAGTTCTGCTTGAAGTTGATATTTTTGTTTGCTCAATTTTCATCGGAGAGTAACATAAACTGTACAAATCGACGATTAACAGAGAACAGTCTGAAGATACAATCATTGTATTGTTCTGAAAGATCATCGAAAATATAATCATCGCTTGTTATTCAGCCATCGAGAGCAATACAGTGTGTAGAAGCCATATGGAATAATTTCATTATTTTGGTTATGGTACATATTTTACCAAAATCCCGAAACAAATTTAAAGTATAATTCGACATTCTCTAACGGAAAAATGATACCCCTACCTTCAACCCCCTTCGAATGACAGGTGCAACCCCCACTTTCTTCAAAAAAAAAAAGAATAGGCTTGGAATATATCGTTTGGAAGGTTTCTTCATTCTCTATTCAAAAATGTTATCAACGCATTTTAAACTCATCATTTCAACTTTAACATGTGAATTAGAACATTTGAAACATCAATTTGAATACGTTTCGAAGTGAATTTGAAAGACTCATGAATTAAACTCAACTTTATTTTGTTCAAACTTGCATTTGCTGTAATAACCCAAATTGAGGAACATTCCCCATCGAGAAAAAATAAATTAAAATGATGTGATTACCAAAATTCGATAAAATACACTCAAAACTTATAGCAATATACTCAAAACTTTTTTCATGTTAAGGTATTGATAATGAGTAAGCAAAAACCATAGTAATGTTCTTTCTAGATGGTATTATTTGAAAAAATGTAAATAAATTCCTTGGCAATGTTAGTTTGAAATGCCTTGTCAACTTGTTTCGTATGTCACAGCATTAGTTGTCAGTATTTTAATTCATTTTCAAAGTTCGTTAACTTCAAGTCTGACAACTGGTTAGATTGGCGGAAATGCATAAAAGAACAGTTTCACAAGTGATTGGTTACGGAGATAAAACCCGAACACAACAGGCAGTAGCTCGCCTATTTCATGAGAAATTTCCTAATTTACCGCCCATATCTCAAGAAACAATAAGCAAAATAGAAAACCAGTTTCGCGAGCTTGGTCATGTGGGGCAGATAAAAAAAGCTGCTGCCAATGCAATGAGTGATGAACTTAAATTAGATGTGATGCTTGAGTTTGAGGTAAACCCACATTCATCGAATGCATCCCTATAAAATGATACCTACTCAGAAGATCATGAAAGACGATTTTGGTAGAAGAACTCATTTTTGTGAGCAAATGATGAACATGTTGGATAAAAATATCATTCAATTAGAAGAGGTTATGTTTTCTGATGAGAGTACTTTGTCTCTGAACGGTTATGCTAATCGGCAAAATTGCCACTACTAGTCAACGGAAAATTCTCACTGGAAGAGAGAACACACGCCATATCCTCAAAAGGTTAATGATTGGGCAGGGATTGTAGGAACCCATATCCTTGGTCTCTTTTTCATTGAAGGCAATTTGAATGGCAATGATTATTTGGCAGTACTTCAAAATTATTTCGAGTCAAGCAAATTTATATCCTGATCCAGGAAACCCTCAAGTTCCAGTGAATACGATATGATTCTAGCAAAAAAGAGCACCACCACATTACCAACTTAATGTTCGGCAATACCTAGATACAACATTTCCCAATCGTTGGATAGGGAGGTGAGGATCGATTGAATGGCCAGCGCGATCACCTGATCTTTCATTATTAGATTCCTTTTTATGGGGATATGTGAAGAGCAATGTGTACAAAACTGAACCTTCAGTTCTTCTTCTTTTTCAGTGACTTTAAAAAACGAATAACGCTTGCGATTCGGTCCGTCAATCCTGATATGTTAGAATACAGTTTTATTTGAGATTAGGATGGTGCCAAGACGTTAGCGGTGAACATTTCGAACATCTACTTCGTTAACATCCATAGTTCTCTTTCGTATTCTGAATTTCATTACGTTCTGCATTAAATTTCAGTTTTTGAGTGTTTTCTATTGAATTTCGGTAACCACATTATTTTAATTAATTTCTTTCTTAAGTGTTCCAATAAACTAGAAAGCGGTAACATTTTTGAATAGGGAAATGAAGAGACCTTTCAAAAGGTATAGGTTTATCAAACCTATACTTCCCATTTGAAAAATTGGAGGTTGTACTTGTCATTCGAAGGAAGTTGAAGGTAGGGGCGGAATTTTTCCATTGAATTTCGTCAAATTATAATATACATTTGACGTGTTTCGGGATTTTTTGAAATATGTACAGTAACCGAAATGATGACTTTATTCCATTTGGCTTCTACACACTGTATATTATTTCTATATTTATGTTACAAAAGCAACATTTAGAGTCAAAATTTGAGTCACTTGAAGATTTATGGGATTCCACGGAGTAGGGATCCATACCGCCCCTATAATGTTTGTTGACTCAATGGGTAAAATCAATCATTTACACTCAAATACACAAATATTTTCATTTGTTTGATTTTGGTTTCGTAGTTTTTATCTAGAATATGTCTCGCTGGAATGTGAGATTTACAAACTGATAGTGATCAGTAACTAGCATGTTACGTACATTTCAACAAATTGTCAACTTCATAATACGTTATCAACTCGTTACAGAGGGTGGCCCATTAGTGTGAGAATTACAGTATCTCGCCTATAATGAGTAGTATGATGAAATGTTTCAGATAAAAGTTATATGGTTTACTCTGTTGCTAATTTTAAAAATATTTCGGGATATACAGAGTATTCCCTTGAAGCGAGGCAACACAAATCATGATTTCTTTAAATGGATGTCCTGTACTATTTTTAACCGTTGAACTGAGCAAAATTATTTACATAGAGAGGTATTTCCTCTTTTCGATAATTTTTCGACATTGTCAAGTTATTGCTGAAAGTATGACAATCTTCGGAAAAACCACCACAAATGTCATCATAAAATTTTTGGATGAAATTCAAGCGGAATTATTTGGATTGAAATGTTGATATAGAACTGAAAGTTACATTTCTCAAACAGGAGATTTCATACAGATACATTAACTTGGTAAATTTTGAATATCAGAAACTTGGTTTTTGAAATGAAACACCCAGTATGCTATGTCACCATTTTGAGAAATATTCCATCCCTACAAATTTGGATAACATGAAATAGTCTCCAAACCTGACACTTTTTGAGAAATTTACAATTCAATTTTGAATTTGTCAAAAATTGTTTTCGTTGAAGAACAAAAAAACTAATCAAATGCATGTTTCTACATGGAATTTCACTAATGTGAAAATAAAAAAAACATTGTGACAATGCTTTCTGTTGATAATCTTGAACAAGATGCATTTTTCAATAGCTCATCCAAATGTGAAGTTGTTCATCACCCACGGTGGATTATTGAGTACAATAGAAACTATCTACCATGGCGTTCCCATTCTCGCTCTACCCATTTTTGGAGACCAGAAAATGAATGCAGCACGTGCAGTTGCAGGAGGGTATGCGTTATCACTGCCAATAACCAAGATCACTGAAGACAATATCTCTGATGCATTGAATCAACTCTTGAATGATCCCAAGTAAGCAAGCATATGATTTCCGATCTATAATCTGCATTTTCATATTTTGCAGTAGGTATTTATTCATTTTGTAACTATGAATTGCCGGTTATTATTTTTCGGTTCCACTGCGAATATGATGTACTCATACACATACTAGATAAGCATAATACGTTACGGTTGACATAATTCCAAAATAAGGGTATTCGATTCGTATACGGTATACGAAAGTATGATAAAGTATGATCATAACATTAATTTATTCAATGACTCAGGTTGGTTGGAAATGAGTCAAATATCAAATGAGAGAAACGCACATCCTTACTGTAACTCATAAAATGTTGCAATCAGGAACACCATTATATTTGCTCATTTCGAAACACAAAACCGCATCATACACACGTAGTTTTTCATACAATATACAGCAAAACTATACAAAAACCCCATGAACTCAAAGACTTCAGTTTGAGAAATTTCAAAAAACCTTTGAAAGTCGTCTTCCGAACGAGGTTATGATGTCTTCACTAGCTGATGCAATGATTTTTAGCAGATTTTTGAGGTTTGGTAAAAAGGGATTGAGTCAAAAATCTTGTTTGTTCAGAAATCGAGTTCGAACATTCAATGTTATGTCATAAATGGCGTTACTGTACCATAGAAACCAAATTATACCAGTATCTTGTATTCAAATAGTTGAACTGAATGCAATAAAGAATATTGTATTAGTGCAACCTCTTACCTGGAATATGAATGACTTAAGCCCCTGAGCACATTTGGTCGAGAAAAAAAAGGTTCACAAAAGCATAAGACTTTAATTGTAAGACCATTACCGCCAAAGTGTACAAAAAGAATGATAATGATAATTGAAATGATGTGACATCCCTGTTTCACTAATCATCTAACAGAACTTCTTCAAGGTCTGAATCTTTATCAATAGCGTTTGCTGAATTTGGCAGATTCAAAAAAAAATTAATGAGAAACTGGCGGAACCAAACGCAAACAAAGCAACCAAATCGTTCTCTTCAGCTGAAATAGGAACCATGGCTTCTGCTCCAATGGGATCTGCTTCAAGTTCGCGTTTCTTTCACGTCGTAGAAAGCTCCAGAAATAAATGGGTCATCCAAATTTAATGAGGTTTTGTAATTGGGAATTCCTATCTCATCTTTTCTGATATGTTTTGTCTAAATCACTGAAGTCAGAATTGAAATGAAAATTCTGAACACCAGGCAAACTTCTTGATGATGAAGAAGAACTTGAAGAAATTGGGGAGGACGGCCCTGTGCAGGACAAAATTACAGCCCTATCAGGCTAGCAAGGCGAATCCAGCATAATTGCAAAAAAATATATATCAGTTGGTAGCTAATTAGTTGCTAATTAGTTGCTAATTAGTTGTCAAAACAACGATTTTGTTGCTCGTGCCGATCCCTAGAAATCGCAAATAATGCCATCGTGATATCAAGATAGCGAGGTAATTCAATAAATTATATACTTTCCAAAGAGATGGGATGAAATCAAAGGATGCAATTTTTCCAGGAACACCCTGTGCGACCCTGGGAAGCTGACGCCGAAGGAATATCTGGCGATGACCAGGAAAAATGTACGCCTAACAGTAGGATGTCTGGCTGGCCACTGTCAACTAAGGAAACACCCCCATAATATGGGGCTAGTGGACACATCTCTATGCAGGATGTATGAACAGGAATATGAGACTGTCAAGTATGTCCTATACGAGTGCCCGGAGTTATCGTTAATAAGAGAGTGTGTGTTCGGCGAGTCTTGGCCTACACCTGCCGATATAAAGGAGATGTCTTGCAGTGACCTGTCCACCTTCTTGGAACAGGACAGGATGGATGATGACCTAGGAGGACAACTCCTCGGGAGGATGTACAATGGGTCACATGTGGCCAAAGTGCTGTGGCCACCCTCCCTACTCCACAGTTACAGATACTCCCACATCCACCGTGTTTGCCAGATTTGGCTCCCAGAGACTACTGGCTATTCGCAGACCTCACAGAAATGCTCACCGGTAGGAAATTCTGTTCGAATGAAGGTTTTTGCTGAAACTGAGGTCTATTGAAATGTTAGAGCCGTGCTGAATAAATTAGGCCAATTTTGAAAAAAAAACGCGTTTTTTTCCCAGACCCAAAACTTTTCAGCTTATGGATTATAAAACAACATTCATCGATCTTTCATATGAAGTTTTTTCTTTCATACCATACAAATATGATCTTTGATAAAATTCACTCATATGAAACGCTAGAGTTCGCATTTCTTGAAGTTCTTTCACATTGAATATTAGTGTAAAATAATTGTCCTTTTTTTCCCCAATAGGTACAGGGATAATGCCAAAAAGAGATCAGCTTTGATACATGACCGTCAAGTGAAACCCATGGATCTTGCGATTTACTGGATAGAATACGTTATCCGAAACAAAGGAGCACCGCATCTAAAGGTGGCTTCATTGAACTTAACGTGGTATCAATATTTATTACTAGATATCATTTCAGTAGTTTTAATCATTGGTATCAGTTTGATGTTTGTTTCGTATTTATTGTTGAAAAGGTTATGTTTGTCAAGGAAAAGTGATAAAAAAATTAAAAGTAATTGAAACACACTCCTTATCAGTGGTTCAGAAAATGTTTTGATGAAAAATGTAACTTCATCAATGGAATTTCAAAAGGAAAACCGCTCGAGACCAGTATAAACTTCCAATTATTTTCTGTAACTTTTTCAAAATACTAAAAAAATTCTAATGATGAAGTAACTGAGTTTTTACTATATAATTTAAAGTAATGATGAATACTGTTCCTTCATGAAAATATACGGTTAACATTTTCCTATTATTGTTCGTTGAAAGTATTGGTAGCAATAAATTGTATCGAATCATCTACAACTATGGCTCGATTCCACAAAACAGTAAAAACAGTATCATTCATTGCTGCTCCCATATAGCTCCTATTTTTTCATGATTCGTATCAAAAAAGTTTCCTTTCTTCAAGGGTCCATTGAGAATTATCAGTAAAACCGCCGAAAAAAAAAATTCGAAACTTGTTTTTACCAACGCATAAATCTAGAGAAAATATTTATTTCGATACCAGAACAGAACACTGTTCATCACCGCACATAAAGAGACAGTCTTTATAAACCAGAAGATGATAAGAGACTGACTTTCATATTCAAATTGGGCTTATTGACTCAGATAATGAATGTCATCAAATTAGGTTGACCAAATAAATTCCTGATTTGTAATGATATCTCAGTTTCTACCTCATATATTACTGACTACCTGTTATATTGATTAACAAATGTCCATCATATTTGTATAACAAAATAAGATTTCGTAGCGATGTACACACTCTTTATTTGAGGTTTAAAGGGTTACTTTCTCCGCCGCCCCATCGAACCACTCTATATCGACGATCCTTCAGTTATAATATATATAGTTTGTACAATAATATTCCACAAAAATATAAAGTTAGTAAAGTTTTTTCATTCAAGTGCTGTTACAAAAAATATCTCATCGCTGCTCAATTATAAAGCCATTGATTTCATAGATTTTATACTTCTGAAAAATTTTCAGCAATAAATTTGACATGTTTTCTCTCTCTCTCTCTCTTCCCTCTCTCTCCTTCCTCTTTTTTTTTCTCTTCCTTTTTCATTGTTTTTTCTCTCGTTTAGTTTTCTTCTCTTCAAGGCTAGAACTAAGATCAACATTACCCTTCCGGAACTTGTTGTTTCTAGCCTTATTTGTAGTTTTTTTTTAATCATTTTTATAGATTGTATATTTATTGTATTTATATGGAACTACAAATAAATATTATTATTAT